TAATGAAAAATTCAAGCGAAATTGTGATATGCATAATTATGATACAAGGACTTGTAATAACTTATATGTAAACTTTAGCAAATCAAAAGCGGCATTTCGATCACCTAATAAAATTGGTCCGCTTCTTTTTAATAATTTACCATGCCACATTACCTCGGTAAAAAATATTAACGCCTTTAAGTTCCTGTTGAAGGAATTTTTGATAAACAAGTGCTTTTATCGTGTTGATGAATTTTTGAACATAGCAATTTGAGATTAGTTGTAGGTTCGTAGCGAACGAAAAATTGACAATTCCAATACAATTATATATTGTCTGTATGGAAATAAAGGTTATTGATATTGATTGATTGATTGATTAAATGCTCCATATCAATGTCCTCGTTGCTGATGGATGAATGAGTGTACTCCAGTGGACCCTTTTCCCACTTTGGCTGGAGGGGCGGCACAGCAAAAGTTGTGGATGTGACTGGCACGGGGGGAGGAGTTTTCGCACACAAACCTTCTCTGTAGTTGTACAGTTCTTGTCCAGCTTCTTCAACGGCAGCTTCCAATTCACTGTGAGTCAGAAATCTTCGAAATAACATTCTTAAGATGAATGTATGCACATATCTCGATGGTATGCACTAAACACAACTAAAACGCAACTAACGTAAACACCTGCAAATGCGTACTGTGTACGTCAAGTTCTCGCGCTAACTTGTCTGAACAGGAAAATACTTAACTGATAAAACCAATGGTGCACAAACGCACCAAGAAAGTTTCCTCTTGTATAACTTTAATTATAAGATCGAAGCCAAACTTTTGACAAACAACATACATACCACATAAGTTTCTTTTCCACTATTTACAGGTAATTATAGGAAAAAATGAGTCTAAACCATAATTCATTGAATTTTAGACATGTTTTACGGAACCAAATATAATATTCATGTCAAAAACCACCGCCATTTTTTCCCTTAGCTGTCAAGGTCAAAAACAAATTGAATTTGGATATAGTAGCAACAGATTATCTCAAACTACTACTACCACTGGGACCAAATGGGATAATCTTCCAAGGTGAAGTGGATATAGGAAAAAGCCGACCCCTAGCGTCATTCAGAATGGTAAAAAATTAACGGACAGGGTGAGTAATTTTTTATATATCTTTTTGCGTAATTTGTTTGCATAAAGTGTTCTTTTTTTTTTGAAAAATAAAATGTCTTTTCACATGTCTTCAAATAAGGTTAAAAATATCATCAAACAAACAGACAGTGTTCTACTATCAATTATTAGTTTACGAAAAATTTATAATTTGAGAATTTTACAATAAGAGAGGCGGAAGTGTGGCTAAAACGAATAGAAATACAAATTAGATTATGTAAAAGGGTAATTCGTAGTAGCAAACAAAATAAATTATCTGTAGGGACTTGTAGGAAAATAGAAACAAATTTGGGGCATTTTAGAAAGTTGATTTTATCTAGACATATTGGCGCAGGACTTCACTTAACATTGAGTCAGAGGGTTAGATGGGCAAATGTAGAATCAAGCTTTCAAAGCAGAATAACAACCGGTTCTATAGCTAATTTACGTCATAAGGTCTTGAACCAATTTTTAGCAGATTGTGTAGTTGTTTTTAAAAGGAAAATTAGTAAAATTTTGAAAACCCATCCTGCGCTCAAAGTAAATACAACATTTTGCGGACAGTTTATTAGGAAACCGTCGTCGTCGGAGGATAATGAAATTTTGGGAATTAAATATTTTAATACTAAAAATCACATTATTGATGCGTCAACTCAAATAGACGAGTGGTTTAACATATATGTAAAAGAGAAACTTTTAAATGAATTATCGGAATTTGCCGAAAAAGATTCGGGTTTTGCATTGAATAAAATTATTTCTTTGTCCCGTTAATATCAATAAATATCAATTTGGAAACGGTTCATCTTATATTAGACTACCAGAACCGATTATGAGAAGAAAAGCTTGTATAAACATTAAAAATAGAGATCAAAATTGCTTTTACGGGGACATTGTAAGCGCTCTTCGGGCTCCTAGCAATAAACGACATACAGAACTAACCTCCTCATATCCATACTTTACTGACGTTTTACAAACAGAAAATTTAGATAGTCCTATGCCGCTCAAAAAAATTTCAAAATTTGAGAAGCTGAATAATATTTCAGTCAATGTTTACGCTTTAGAATTAATTGAAACAGAAAGATCATCATTTTACGCGGTAGTACCAGCAAGATTAACGGAAAATAAACGAGACGCGCATACTAATTTACTTTTAGTTCAAAATAAATATTATCCGCGTTTAAATGATTATGATGCTTCACCACTAGCGGATGAAGGTAATGATTCCATCGATGAGATTAAATATCACTATTGATGGATTAAAAATCTTTAGCGTCTTATTAGTAGTCAGTTAAATAAGCATCGTGAGAACAAATTTATTTGCGATAAATCTATGAACTATTTTCAACAGTAAAACAAATTAGTTGAACATGAAAAACTGTGTTCTAAATTTAACAAATATAAAATTAACCTTCCTAAAGAGAGCCACGTTGAATTTAACATACCAACAAAATACTCCTTTTGTTGTTTATGCAGATTTTGAATGTCAATTAGAAAATTATAAAGAAAGTAAATATAACTAAAACCGTAGAATATCAAAAACATGTTCCGTATAGTGCTGGTTTCTATGTAAAATGCAACTATGACGATAGTCTTTCTTACTTCAGGTGCAGATTGTATGGATTGGTTTGCGAATCGTATGGCTGGTATTGCGCAATTTGTAAACTCAAAAATTAAAACAAGCGTACCGGTGATTGAAAAATTCGATACGTGTAAGGCAACATCATGTCATATTTGCGGTAAGAGATTTTCAAAACAAAAAGACGTAATCGTTACGGATCACGACCATTTCAGTGGAGAGTTCAGAGGTTATGCACCCCAAGCGTGCAATCTAAACTTTAGAAAATTGTTCATTGTGCCAGTTATATTCCATAATTTATGTGGGTACGATAGTCACTTTATGATTTCAAATTTATGTAAAAAAGGTCGCTTAAGCCTACTTCCCATCAACAACGATAAATACATTTCCTTTTTGCTGCATTCAGATGAAAATAACATTAAATTGCGGTTTATAGAATCTTTTCGATTTATGGGGGCTTCTCTTGATGGATTAGCTTCAATTTTAGCAGAATCAGAAAAGAAAATTTTACGGAAAGAATTTCAAAATTTAGATAAAGATAAATTCAAATTATTAACACATAAAGGAGTTTTCTGTTAAGATTATATTGATTCTTTCGAATTAAACGATAAAAGTATAAGTGACGAGAAGTATGCTCATGCACAATCTGTTTGGCGACAGTTCAACATTAAAATATTAGGGGAATATTCTGATATATATTTAAAAACAGATATTCTGCTTCTTGCCGACGTTTTTGAACAATTTCGTACAAAATGTTTCTCCACCTATGGTCTGGATCCTACGTGGTACTATACAATGCCCGGATATATGTGGGACTGTATGCTCAAATACACTGGGTGTAGGTTAGAACTACTAAAGGATCTAGATATGGTGCTGTTTTACGAAAACGCGATAAGAGGTAGAATATGTACCTGGATGTAATAATTTATATGGGGCCGCGATGCAGCAACCTTTACCCTACGGAGGGTTCAAATGAGTGGATGATGTAACATTGTATTACGAATGTAAAAATGAAAACGATCCGCTGCGCAACAACGCTCGATTTTTTTCTGCCCCATATATCTACATGTTTTTGTCCGGTACCACTTCTGTGTGTACCTATGATTCAGCGTCTAATCTTCTCCCAGTGCCGTCCCAGGATACGCTGCACTATTTTTCCGTAACAATCGGCCTTTCTGACCCTCTGGTGTCCCCGCCAGTGGTATAGTAACCATGGTTGTTATTTGCTGCCCTAGAAAGGAATCAAAATACAGTACCACTTTGTTATGAAATATATTACAGGGTGGATGAATTGTAGTATTGTTCACTCACAGTCAGTGTGACCTTAGTCACCACACTCACACATTTTCTTCCGCAGTGTGATCTTAGTTACCACACGCATATACCTTTGAGAATGTGTGAACTTTGTTACCACACATGTACTATTTTCAATAGTGTGAACTTTGTTACCGCACATATATTATTTTCAATAGTGTGAACTTTGTTACCACACATATATTATTTTCATTAGTGTGAACTTTGTTACCACACATATATATATTATACAGGGTGACTTCGAAGTTGAGTCATTTATTTTAACAGTGAGTAGATCTGATCAAAAGAAATGTTTTTTTCCTTTACCATTTTCCTGGTAAAATTAAAGTAACAAAGTTATAGCCCTTTGGAAGTTTGAGTACCGCCCTGTCTCAATAACAATATTATGTGGTCGTGTTTGGCGACAATGGATATAATCCGCCGTATCGGTTCATCGCATCGGAAACAAAAAAGCGAAAGAATTTGGAACGATGTTTTTACAGGTATCTCATTCATTTGTATACAGTTAGTGTCAGTGAATAGTGGTATGTGTTGCGTGGCTCAAACGAAATAAAAAATGGCACATGTTTATGCGGATCGGTTTCCCAATCGAGTGCAACCAACCCCTCGTGCCTTTGTTAATGTAGTACAACGGGCTTGTGAATCAGGTGACTTAAGACCTCACAGGGGACCTCACGATCAAATACAGGTCCGCACTGAAATACTTGTCGGGAGGATACTTTATAAAACAAGGTAAAAATTTTTTTTTATTTTTTTTTTATTTTTACACACATATTTTGGTTTATCTTCCTTCTACAATCATTATCTGAAAATTAATGACTCAACTTCAAAGTCACCCTGTATATATTTTATGCATATTACTTTTCATCTGATGTGACCTTAGTTACCACACCACCACTGATATATAATAAACCTGCAACTTCATGAACCAGTTTTATTAACATGATGATTAGAAGACATATGAGCAATACTATCACACATACCTTACAGCCTAACCTCCCAACAAATCAATTAATTCGTCAGTACTATTGACCTCGCTTTCAATTTCTGAAATATCAATAACACCGCCTTTCCATTCTCTCAAGCTATCAGCAGCCACTATTGCTCTAAATCTCTTATACCCCTTTAAGCCCTCCAAAGATGTTATTTCATATCTATCATTTCCCAAAACCTTCTTGATTTTATAAGGCCCACCAAACTTTTGATAACCTACTTTCCTACTCACTTCTTTTTTATTTGTATTCGCCCCAGACCATAGTACAAGATCATCCTTACTGTATGACTTTGTAGGCGTGTGCTTTTCATCGAAACGTTTTTTCATCTTTTTCGCCTGTAGGTCCATCCTCTCCTTTGCCTTTCGCTTAGCATCGGGGGAGGCCTCAAACTCATTATCTCCCAAATCAGCATGACGATTTTTTTCATAACCAAACATTAAAAGGTGTGGTGTGTACCCGGTAGTATCGTTTACGGTATTATTTATACCCCATAAGACTTTTGGAAGAACTCCTTGCCAGTCACTTTCATTTTCTATAGACGTATTTATTCCATTTAATATTGTTCGATTATACCGTTCGATTTGCCCATTTGCTCTTGGACATGCTATAGCGTTTAGAATATGTTTAACCTGATATTGACTTAAGAATAGTTTGAATGCTTTACTAGTGAAAGCTTTTCCACGATCCGAAATTATTCTTTTGGGAGTCCCGAACATACTAAATAAATCGTCTAAATGCTCATTGACCTCCTTAGCTTTTGTAGTTTTAGTCGGTCTAGCAAATACAAATTTAGCGAATGAATCAATTATCATGAGAATGTATGAATTTCCCCTATCACTTTTGACAAATGGGCCCAAATGGTCAATATGCCATGTATGAAGTGGTTCGCATGGCTTAGTTATCGGAAAAAGTTGTCCTTGTTGTTTCCCATATTGTCCCCTTTTATAATGACAATCTAGACACGCAGTTACGTATTTTTTTATAAACCTAGTCATATCTTTGAACCAAAATTTGTCCTTGATAATTGCCTCGCAGCGTTTTAGTCCCACATGACCAATATCATCATGATATTTCCGCAATATGTTAAATCGCGCAGACTTGGGGACAACCAGCTTAAGCTTACCATCTAACGTCTTACGATACAATTTATGATCCCTCATTTCATAATTATTTGACATGTCCTTGTCGTTTGCTGCGGCTAACTTTTCTTTTACCATCCGGATACTTTCGTCTTGTTGTTGTAATGCTAAAACCCAATCAGACGCATCCATAATAAGTACATCGCTTACTGGATTTCTGCTTAGAGCATCTACATGTTTCATTTTATCACCTGGACGGGGTTCTATTTCAAAATCAAAATCTTGGATGCTTAACCACCATCGTGCAACCCTTAGTAGCAAATCTTTTTTTTCAAAAGTACTCCTAACTGCACTACAATCTGTGACTATTTTGAAGCGTATTACTACCAAATAGACCCTAAATCTTTTAATTGACTCAACAACAGCTAAAGTCTCTAGCTCGTATGAATGATATAATTTTTCATCACGTGATGTTGCCCTGCTAAAGTAATAGACCGGTTTTAACGTAGTTCCCTCATACTGCAGGAGAATGCTTGCAATGCCCTTGCTACATGCGTCTGTATGTAATTCAGTCTTTGCTTTAGAGTCATAAATTTTTAGGATAGGTTTATTTATAAGTATATCCTTAATCTCACTAACAGCTTGTTTGTGCTCACTTTCCCAAGACCACGGTACATTTTTGCGTAACAATGTTGTAAGTGGAGCGACAATTTTAGCATGATCTCTTATAAATTTCCGAAAATAGGAACTAAGCCCCAAAAACTGCCTTAGTTCATGTATATTTGTTGGATCCTTGAAATCTGCTACTGCTCTAACTTTTCGATCACCAGGTCTGATTCCTAGTTCTGAAATCTCATAACCAAGGAAATCAATTTGTGTCTGGAAAAATGAGCACTTATCTATGTTGAATTTTAAATTGGCTTTCGCAAATAGTTCAAGAACATTTTGTAAAACTTGCAAACCCTGTTCCACAGTGTTTGACGGGATTAAGATGTCATCGAGATAAACAGCGACTTTATCATATCTTAAATTTCCCAATACATTGTTCACCATTTTTTGAAACGTAGCGGGCGCATTAGCGATCCCAAAAGGCATCCTCAAAAATTCATACTGTCCGTCAGGCGTTACAAAAGCAGTTTTATTTATGGAATCAGATGCCACCGGCACTTGATAATATCCTTGAGCCATATCTAAGCTGCAAAAATACTTCTTTTTTTGTAGCCTGGATATCAAATCTTCTATGTGTGGCAGTGGGTAATTATTTTTCACCATGATTGAATTCAATTTCCTGTAGTCAACACATAAACGATAATCCCCAGTCTTTTTCTTTACAAGAACAATTGGACTGGAGTAGTTCGATGACGATTCTCTGATAATACCCCCTGCCACGAGGTCACTAATTTTATCTCGAACGACACCTCTCTCAAATTCAGACAAGCGGTAGGGCCTATGAACGATTGGTCTGTCAGATAACAAATCTATTTTCAATTCTACTGATTTACTATTGCCTAGCTCGAGAGTATCGGTAACAAAACATTCACTAAAGTTACGCAAAAGGTCATACAACTTATTTCTATCATTTTCGAATAAATCCCCACAATTTATATTATCTGTTTGTAACGATAGAGTGCTTAGTGCATTGCCTTCTTCTATGATTGGAAATTTAGACGAAGAACTTAGCTTGAACCCTTTTGTTAAGATTTGCCCAAAAAATAGGCCTATTACCCCAATTTATGACATTCAAAGTTTGAACTGGTCCACTAACAATGCAACTTTGTATAGAACAATTTTGGGAACAAGTAAACAGCTGACCACTTATAATAACAATATCTTGGGTATTATCTAAAGCAATCAATATTCTCTTAGAGCTTAGAGCAGGAATATGTACATGTTCGAAAATTTCAATAGGCATTTTTTCTATATTATCTAGGAAACTAAACATTTCTAACAAATCATCTTCAGCTGGTTTTAATTGCACTTGACCACCTGTGATATTCAAAGTCACTTTTTTGCTATTACGTATAATCGGTTGTCCAATAATAACATCAACTGAGGACATTTCAACATTTACAAATACCAAAGACGTGCTCATAAAAATCTTCCCAATAGATATCTCTACCTGACTAGTACCCTCTGGCACTATGAGAGAGCCACTGAAATTCCTTAGTAATATATCAGTTGGATATAATTTTAAATTTAATTTGTTGGCCACCTTAATATTTGCGACATTCAACTGACTACCAGTGTCAATATACCCATTGAAATTTTGACCATTGATTTCTACGGCTATATTATAAAAGGAATTGGACACTTGCTTTTTCAAGATCCTAACATTCATAGGCTTTCCTCGTTCCTTAGTCCAGCAGCTTTCAGCTAGGTGTCCCCTTTTCCCGCAGATGGTGCAGGTAGATGTCATACTCGGTCTTTTCCAACAGTCTTGGTCCTTGTGTCCTATTTTACCGCAACTCGAACAGGTCGGCTTAACCCTGGACCAACACAGTTGCTCCGTGTGTCCCTTCTTTCCGCAACGAGGACAACGGATACCCTGATCACTGCTCCTTGGAGTGCTGTTACTAGCCGCCTGATTGGATCTTCTAAGTAAACAATGTCGGGCTTTATGTCCTACCTTCTTGCATAGAATACACTTAAAGGTAGATTGCCCTGATGGACTGGGTTGACCTTCAAAATTTTCTGTGGTTCCCATTCTCTTAGCTGCCGACTCGCTAATACTCTCTATTTTGCTAAGGAACCCGTAGAACAGCTCGTCTGGTGACTCATAGTTCCCTGTTTTGGCGTTAGCTTGTAGTGGTATGGGTAATCCGTCAATTATACAGGAAACTGCATTTTCCCCTGTTAGTCCACATTTTTTTACCAGCATATTCTTCGAATAAAAATAATGCATCATGCTCTCATCATTATTCTTACTTCGCGCTAACATTTGTTTTAGCAAGTCAACGTAATCGGTGTGTGAAGGGAAAGCGCGTGAAATAGCCAATTTCCATTCATCCCATTGTAAGTTATAATCTGCTAGCCCGTTGTACCAAACTTTTGCCAATCCGGTAAGGCGGGACTGCATGCAAAATGATTTTTGTTCATCGCTCCAACTATTAATTATTCCAATTTGTTCGATCCTATGTAACCAATTGGTAGCAGTGATCTCTGATTTTTCTGGATCAAACTCGGGTATCAAATCTGCTTTCCCAGTGTATTTCGAATCAGTGCTTTATATGCAATCACGTTGACCAAGATCTTACTCACTTTTTCTGCGACAAGTTTGTCAACTTCGGAGAGACTTACAGTTTTCTCGATTTTCCGTTTTTTCGTAGGAGCACACACATAACGTCCAGGTAGTTCGTCACAGTCACTTGAAGTGGCACTCGTCTTGCACGAACTCTATAGCACAGTACTTATCAACACATTGACTTATTAACTAACCCGTAACAACAAATCAATTTTAGTGAGTTCTATCCCAACTTCTGAGATATTACGAATGTAAAAATGAAAACGATCCGCTGCGCAACAACGCTCGATTTTTTTCTGCCCCATATATCTACATGTTTTTGTCCGGTACCACTTCTGTGTGTACCTATGATTCAGCGTCTAATCTTCTCCCAGTGCCGTCCCAGGATACGCTGCACTATTTTTCCGTAACAATCGTTTGATGTGCCGTTAATACCCGACGACTGTGACGTAGGGTACGTGCTACAAGTCGATCTATCGTACCCACAAGAACTGCACGATAGCCACAAAGATTTTCCGTTTGCGGCAGAACGTAGCGTACCACCTAGCGGCGGCGGCGGGGTAAAATTACAGAAATTAATGACAACACTTACGGATAAAAAAGAGTACACGATTCACTATAAAAATTTAAAAGAAATGCTAGCTAATGAATTAAAGTTAACGAAAATTCAAAAAACTTTACAATTTAAACAAGCAGCCTGGCTGAAGCCCTACATCGAGCTGAATACTCGATGCAGGGCTGCAGCCAGGAATGATTTCGAAAAAAATCTCTTTAAATTAATGAAAAACGCTGTATTTGGGAAGACTATGGAAAATATACGTAAGCACCGTATATGTAAAATCGATAAATCTTGGGGTGGTCGCTATGGCGCAGCAAACTTGATTTCGAGTTTTCGGTTCCACAGCCGCACAATTTTAGAAGAAAATCTGGTGATTATCGAATTGAAAAAGGCTAAAATAACGTTTAACAAACCTCTGTATGTAGACCTATCGAAGGTGGTCATGTATGATTTCCATTACGCCTACATTTTACCAAAAATGGGAACAGATAGGTGTAAGCTAGTGTATATGGACACTGATAGTTTCGTCTACGAGTTGCAGTGTGAGGATGCATATGAGGAGATAATTAAAAGCTGATTCCAGTAAATTTGATACTTCGGATTATCCTGAAAATAACATATATAAAATACCGCGAAAGAACAAAAAGGTTCCGGGTCTAATGAACGGTGAAAATAACGGTAAGATTATGACACATGTTGTTGGCCTTCGAAGCAAAATGTATATTTACAAGGTGCAGGATGGGAAGGTGGTTAAAAATCTAAGGGGGTAAAAGACAATCTTGTTAAACATAAAGTTACATTTGAGGATTATGTTGAATGTTTGAAAAAAATTAAGGATAAAACAGCTACACAACACTGTATTCGGTCGTATGCACACAACATATATTCTGTTGAACAGGCAAAAATTAGTTTAAGTCCGTATAACGATAAACGTTATTTAATTCCGGAGAGTTTTGACACACTTCCGTGGGGGCATTACAGTATCTTATAATAGGAGGTTTTTTTGTTTTGTTATAGATGAATGCTCCAACATTATTAGTGTTAGCTGTTAGAGAAATTTGCGAATCAATAACATTATCAGCTGCAAACAGCAAACAAAAATTACAAAAAGAAATATACGCAAAGTTGGGGTTTTCCTTTACACGACGTGTAGATCTTGAAAACATAAGGAATTTTTCTTAGTACCATATACATCAATGTCTTAAGGGAACCGAGATAAAGGGCTCTGCAACATCAAAAATATCTGAATACCGTTCTGTAGCCGCCACCCGCCGCGATGTCCCAGACTGGTACCGGCTACTAGCTGAACCCGACGACAGAACTGGGTCGAGGGTCGGGATTAGTGTGTCAGGTCAGTATGCAACCTTCAACCGACGGTAAAGGGTCACGCGTATAGAGGTAACGAACCCGTATAATCGATTGCGTTTCAAAAAAAAATAATAATAATGGCACATTCATACACCAATAATGAACTCGTTGATATGTTGTTAATTTATGGTGAATGTCTTCAAAATGATACAGAATCATCGCGAGTGTATGCAGATCGTTTCCCTAGACAACATCATCCAAGGCCCCGCAGATTTGTGTACCTGGTCCAGAGAGTCAGGGATACGGGCCATTTGGAGAAATTTCGAGGTGGGCACAGTGGGAGGCCTAGACAACCACGAATGGTGCAAGTTGAGGAAGAACTACTGAATCGCGTAGACGACAATCCCTCAACAAGCACTAGAGACGTGGCTAGAGAAGTGCAAGTATCAAAAACTAAAGTGTGGCAAACGTCCAACGTGTACAAGTCGTTCAACCTGACGATTTTCCAGCAAGAGTGCGGTTTTGTGAGTGGTTGTTGCATTAACATGACAATAATCCGGACTTTTTGAAGTGCATATTGGTGACAGACGAATCTACGTTCACGCGTAATGGGGTGAATAACTTTCGATTTCAGGCAGAGACGTACTTAGCCCTTCTCGTCAACTGGAGAGTGAGTACTTTTTCCTTTATTTTTTTTTACTTGGTCGCCCTCGTTTCACTACACATTACATTTGTTATTTCAAGGGTAGTTGTTTCTGAAAAGGAAAGCCTCAACTTTGCGGACACCCTGTATTGCAGTGTCTGCCCGGCGCGGCAGTACGTCTTCTCCCGCGCCGTTCTTGGGCGCACATGCGTGAGCGACCAAACAGTGTTATAGGGAGAGCCAAGTTTAGATATTTGAACTAGAATCTAACACGGCCAAACTGACATCATTCGGCTCTCGGAATGTATAGCCCTCATGACAATAATAATTCTGGGCAAATTAACAGTAAACAGTTTTATTATCTAACGATAAAGAGATTTAGAAGGTACATGAATAATTGGTTACAAAACTACGAAAATACCTGGATAACTAATTACAAAAATACATGGATAACTAGTTACAAAATTGCGAACACTACGACTATGGTATATATGCCTACTCAGCATGTAGGTACTTATAAGCCATGATTATTATTGAACATCATCTTCCAAAGGTTGATAGTCGAGATTTAGCTTGCTCGTCTATTTCGCTGGTAGTTGCTGAAATAAGCAAAAGAAGAGCATTACTCAGACTGCTCCGTCAGTAACTGCTCAATAGTTTTTGTAACAGGATTTCATTCGATGACACGATGAAAATACTGCTGATTCAACACCAACAACTAATTTTTTGTTATAACAGGAATTCATCAGATGACACGATGGGAATACTGCTATATGCACGTATTCACGATGGGTCATTTAATATCAGGACTTAGAATGACACGATGGAAATATTGCAATATGCACATATTTACGATGGGTCATTTCATATCAGGGTTTTAGAATGACACGATGGAAATATTGCAATGTGCACATATTTACGATGGGTCATAGATTAATAAGATCGGTCTGTTACACAATCTAACAACAATCTAACACGGCATAGATTGATCAAAATAAAATGAATTACTTACAATCATTTAATTCTAGCAGATTTTGGAAATCCTCAGGAGTCCACTCGATTGGCCAGTAGCGCAACTGGTCCTTTGAACACTTAAGAGTAATTCTCGTGCCCAGTTTTTGAATTGAGTATCGGTCATTAGCTAATAGTTGTTTAATCACATAGGGTCCCACGAATTCTCTGCCCTTTGACCTCGGCTTAACAAAACAGCATCACCAACTTTGAATGACTGGTTATTCCTACGCTTCTTGTTGAGGGAAATAACTTGTTCTTCAGCATTTTTCTTCATTTTTTTTTTCAAGAACGGTGGTAGAATCGATTGGATTTTTAGTGGCTTCAGGAGTGGGTAAATCTGCTAAGACTGTACGAATCTGAGGAGTTTTTCCTTCTTGACCAAAAACTAATTTAAAGGTTGAATAGCCAGTGGTCTTCTGTTTTGTGGTGTTCATTACTAGTTGGATTTTCAAAAGTTTGTTCGGCCAATCTGACGATTTCTTTGATTCAATTCTCAGCAAGTTTGTTATGGTTCGCATGTATCCTTCTATTTGGCCGTTGGAGCGATGTACACCAGGGGTTGTCACGTGAACCTCGATACCAAAGTGTTCGGTAAATGCCTTGAAACTTTTAGGGTTAAAATTAGTACCAGCATCATGGATTAGTTTTGCTGGGGTTCCAAATATACTGATGAAGTTGGCAAAGCTTTGTCTGGTTTCTTCGGACGTAACAGTGGACTGGGGGTAGAGAAGGCAGAATTTTGAGAAGGCATCCACCAGGACAAATATGTATAATTGCTTGGATTTCCAGGTAAAGGACCAAGACAATCACCATGGATTGTATGAAATGGTTCGTTGGGCTTTGGTACAGAGGTGAGGAAGCCTTGCTTTGGACCAGTTCGATTTTTCCGAACACCGAACAGCACATAGTAAACAATGTTCAACATATTTCTTAACGTACCGAGCTATATGAGGAAACCAAAAGTAGAGTTTTAGTGTTTTTTCCCAACCTACATGACACGGATCATCATGGAATATTTTTAAAAGATTATATCTGTTATTAGATGGTACAAACGGTAGTAATTCTATAGATTTGTTGGTTTCAGTTGAAATAATTCGAAACAATGTACCCTTTTTGAATTTATATTTTCGGATGACATCTACCTCGTTATCATTTAAAGATTTAATGATTTGTTTGCACTCCTGGTCTCGACTTTGTGCAAAAGTAAGCCAGTTTTTGTAATCGTCAGATGTTAAATTAACCTGAACCACAGTGTCGGTCGGATTTCTACTAAGGAAGTCAACATGAGATATTTCGGTACCTTTTCGGTAGACTATTTCGAAGTCAAAGTCTTGCATATAAGCCCACCAGCGCGCTATACGTGGTTTTAGGTTCTTCTTACCTACAGACAACTTAAGGGAATTGCAATCAGTAACAAGTAAATAGACTCGAAAGTTTTTTAGAGCCCTAACGACAGTCAGAGTATCTAGTTCTAATGAATGGTAAACAGCTTCCTCGGGGGATGTTTTCTGGCTGAAATATTCAACTGGGCGGAAAGTATTCCCATGTTTCTGTAACAAAATCCCGCCAAAACCGATACTGCTGGCGTCTGTGTGCAACTGTGTTTCTTCCAAAGAAGGATCAAATATGGACAATAGAGGTTTTTCTGTTAGGACATCAATAATGTATGACCTTGCGTGTTCACATTCTGACGTCCAAGCAAAGTCAACATTATTCCTGGTTAGAATAGTTATGCAGGCTACTCTAGAAGAAAAACCAGGGATAAATTTTCGGAAATAACTGGCCAATCCAATAAATTGGAGAACCTGCTTCACATTAGTGGGGGCTAAACTTTCTTTGACTGCTTTAGCTTTATTAGGGTCAGGTTGGATACCATCAGCTGAGATTACTCGCCCTAGATAGGTGATACTCTTCATGAAAAAACGACATTTCTTGAGATTTATAGAGAATCCTGCTTCAAGCAATGCATCAAAAATTAATTTTAATCTGAGCATCCCTTCGGCGACTGTAATAGACGGTATAACGATGTCGTCCATGTAAACAATAGCGATATCATATTTAAGTTTACCTAGAGCTTTATTAATGGCCCGTTGGAAGACGGCGGGTGCATTAGCCAGACCAAATGGCATCCTCAGGTACTCATATTGGCCGTCCGGTGTCACAAAGGCAGTTTTTGAAATTGATTCAGGGTGAATGTGTATCTGGTGGAATCCCGAAGCCATATCAAATGATGTGAAATATACATTTTTACCCAATCGGTCCAACTGGTCATCTATGCGGGGAAGAGGGTAGCGATCTTTAACGGTAATTTTATTAAGAGAGCGATAATCTACGCAAAGACGAGTTCCACCACCCTTTTTTTTGTCAAGATTATCGGGCTTGCAAAAGAAGAGTTGCTCTCACGCATAATTTTATTTTCAAGAAGATCAGCAACGATATCACGTACATTTTGGCGTTCAGATTCCGACATACGGTAGGGCTGATGATAAATAGTATTGTTTTCAGTTAGAGTAATAACTAACTCGCCAGTGTTTACGACACGGAATAGCTTGCCGGAGGTAGTTAACAGCTGAGAATAGTCTTCAAGTGATTCAAGTAGCCTTACTTTATCATGAAAGTCCAAATCGGTAACTACTTCTGGGCCTAGATTATCATAGGTGGTATTGATGGGTATAGGTTCACAAAAAAATTTGTTGCCCGTTTTTATCCTTGATTAAGGTTACGTTATTTTCATAGACGTTTTCACCTATAACAACATCATACTTAGAATGATTTTGTGGTACTACGACAAAATCAAGTTTCAATTTTGCATCAGAAATTTCCACTAAGGCATTTGTAACAAAATAAGAATTAATAGTAGTACCCTCAAGCCACTGTAACGCTGTGATACGCGGTATTATATCAAGGTTCAATTTTTCAACCAGCGTTTCACTAATTAATGAACATGTCGAACCAGTATCTACTAAACAATTTGTACAATAACCTGATATTACAATTGGCAACGTCTTCAAACATCTACCGAGCTCAGAAGCATGAGAATTAAGGAAAAGTTGTTCCCCTTTGAATTTCGTATCTACACTGGTTTCGCTGCCACTGTCTCGAGCATGTTTGTTTTGACGACGAAAACAGTGAGATATTTCATGGCCCGGTTTTTTGCAGTAACGACAGAACGTTTTTGCATCTTTGTTGCTGTGAATTGGAAATGCCTATTTTGCCACAGGAATAACAACTAATTTGTTTGGAGTTTTTTCGTGGAAGATCATCACTCTGGCTGTTTGGATGTGTTGACATTTTATCGAATGATGGAACTTTTATATAATTAGCAAGGAATGCAATCAAATCACTTACAGCTGACGCGCCACAATTATAAGCAGCAGTTCTTACAACGGCATCATCTACCGAATGTGCGATAATCTCTATCAAATCTAAATCCACCCAACTAGCTCGGGTGCGTTTCAACTTTTCGAATTTGACTCTAGCATATTCGACGTAACTACAGGCCTCTGAGCTACGATAGCCTACTGCCTCACTGAGAAGCTTACCTAGATTTTTCTGTTTAGGAAATGATGCGGAAAATTCAATCTTGAAATTTTCTTCAGTAGGTTGCCATACAGAAAACCACCCTTGTGCAGATTTTAATAGAAAAGGTCCAATTCTACTTACAGTTTCCCGGTCAGACCGACCAAATTCGTTTTTATATCCCTCTATTTTTTGTAACTATACGTGGCTATCGGTGCTGTCCAGATCAAAACTGGGCAAGGCCAAAGAAATAGGAGTTTTTTGGATAACAGGAGCTGAAGATTGCGTTCCATTGTCATCCACCTTCCTCTGTAGATTTTCCAAAACCGATGCAATTGCTCCTAGAGACTTAGCCAACTCTTCTGCCATAATGTTTTTCACAACCACAAAACTTCACAGAATACCAAACGTTTACGAAAAGTACACGTGTACCCCACACCTGATGTTAGATTTTTACAATTTACGACCACTCACGGTCAATGTCAGGCAGTGTCTGCCCGGCGCGGCAGTACGTCTTCTCCCACGCCGTTCGTGGGCGCACATGCGTGAGCGACCAAACAGCATTATAGGGAGAGCCAAGTTTAGATATTTGAAATAGAATCTAACAATATATATATAAAAATTGTCCGTCCCCCAGTTTCTGTAAACCTATGACAGAATATATATATATATATATATATATAGATATAGAAACTCCATAATATATATATATATATATATATATATATATATATATATATATATATATATATTGAAACAATGTACCTACTATGTAGATAATTGCTTATGTTTAATACACGTGTGCGTGTGCGTGTGCGTGCGTGCGTAGGTATTTTTTTTAAACATTTATTGTTTGAAAAGCTTACAGAGTTTCTATCCAAATCAATCAATACTTTATCAATATTGAATTATAAACATTCTCTGAGACAATGCGCTTCAATAGAATTTGATGTTATGTCACAAAAAGACTTTAGCACGTCTATAGGAGCTACAATATGCTTACTGTTTTTAAGTAAGACGCATATAGTATCTAGAACGTTATGATAATAGCGTAAAAAAATGATAACACTTAACATTTCAATTCTAAAACTAACAATCGAGTCAATTCTCACTAATTCTTGCACTTCTTATTGTGTAAAGTAAAAAGTACCATGACCATTGGACACTGTAACAAACTTGATTCCATCACACACAAGTCCAGAGATTTCAATATTTTCACCACAGGTAAGTTTAACGTTCCATGCCACTGCTGCTGCTGCTGCTGCTGCTGCCTCCAATGTTTCAAACCTGAATCATTTTAAGTGATTCACGAAAATCGGACATTCAAAGGTGCTAAATGATATTTGAACATTTCCAGTATCGTCAGGTTTGTACTCAATTTTCACGGCGGGTTCAAAGTTTCTTGCAGAACTCAGGCGACAGTGGACTTGATATAGTTGTCCACATTTCAGAGTCGTATTACAAATGTAGTAACGTTCCATCTGGATTGCATTTTCGTACACCTTAATACACGGTCTAATTCAGCACCATAAACTGATTCTTCTTCCTCTTCGTATGGACGTGGCTCAAACATGATGCACTTATCTCAATCGTCTTCACTCAACTATACTAAGTGACATATAAATCCGAACACCCAGTTTAAATGGTTTTATTTTAATAAAAGTTGGTGAATGTATTTATCTTACTGTAAATAACAAGTGAAAAAATTTTCAGCCTTATCAGTTGGACATTCCGGTTTTTATACTGCTTTTTTTTAATTCACTAACGCTCTAAAAATGAATATTTCAGCCGCAGTAAAGAATCAACGTTGGCGGATTTTGGTTCTTGACATCCTTTACGATCGGTTACGATGCCTAGAGTACGGAGACCTGTACGATTTCGTCAACTTAGTGAGTTTGATAGGGGCTGTATAGTGGGACTTCGGAAAGCTGGACTTTCTTTTCGGGCAATTGCAGTTAGAGTGCAAAGAAGTGTAGACACTGTGGTTAGGTGTTGTCAGGCATGGCTTCGAGAAGGCCGTACGCCGCCGTAGAACAACAGACCGTGAAGATCGCCGCCTAAGATTATTGGCCTTAAGGGACCGTTTCTCCACTACCAGGTCCATTGCAAATGAATGGTTTGCAGAACACGGAAGACCTATTGGCATGCGAAGTATTTACCGACGAATGAGAAGTTTTGGCTTGTTTTCATACCGGCCACACTGGGTCCTCCCTTTAACTCGAGAATACCGACGTAATCGCCTTGAGTGGTGCAGTCAACGGTCACTCTGGGATCAGGAATGGAACAGCATTGTCTTTAGTGACGAGTCTCGATTTTGTTTAGGCATGCACGATGGTCGTGCCAGGGTTAGAAGGCGACGTGGTGAAAGGAGGAATCCACAGTTTTCTGTTGAAAGACATGTTCATCACACTGTTGGAGTTATTGTTTGGGGTGCTATAGCTTATGGTTCCAGGTCACCTTTAATCTTCATCAGAGGTAACATGAACGCGCAGCGTTATATCCACGAAGTTCTAGAACCCCTATCTTGACACCCTGGCAGATCCAACTTTCCAACAAGATAATGCCCGAGCACATGTTGCAAGGGTCACAATAGACTTCTTTCAACATAATGATGTCACATTGTTACCATGGCCACCAAGATCTCCCGACTTATCCCCAATTGAGCACGTGTGGGATATGATGGGTAGGAGATTGCTCAATTTGCAACGTCCTCCTCAGACTCTAGAAGCACTTCGAGAAGAGTTGGTGCATTATTAAAGGTCAAAGGGCTTTAAAGCAGTGCAATCATTTTGAAATTTTTATCATTTACTTATTATGCTTCATTAAGTACTTATACAAAATTTTATTAAAATAAAACCATTTAAACTGGGTGTTCGGATTTATATGTCACTTAGTATATACAGGGTGACTTTGAAGTTGAGTCATTAATTTTCAGATAATGATTGTAGAAGGAAGATAAACCAAAATATGTGTGTAAAAATAAAAAAAAAATAAAAAAAAAATGTTACCTTGTTTAATAAAGTATCCTCCCGACAAGTACTTCAGTGCGGACCTGTATTTGATCGTGCGGTCTTGGAGCAGCATGCCCTCACCTGTGAGGTCTTAAGTCACCTGATTCACGAGCCCTTTGAACTACATTAACAAAGGCACGAGGGGTTGGTTGCACTCGATTGGGAAACCGATTCGCGTAAATCCGTGATGCATCCGGGAGCATTTTGTAAAGACTGCCCCCCCGTAAATAAGAATCATGTCCACAAGTTCAGCATTTTCGTAAACATGTGCCATTTTTGATTTCGTTTGAACCACGCAACACACTACTATTCACTTACGCGTTATCGACTGACGAAAAACATCGTGATAAACGTTTCAAATTCTTTCGCTTTTTTGTTTCCGATGCGATGAACCGGTCAGGCGGATTATATCCGTTGTCGCCAAACACGAGCATATAATAGGCAGGGCGGTACTCAAACTTCCAAAGGGCTATAACTTTGTTACTTTAATTTTACCAGAAAAATGGTAAAGGAAAAAAACATTTCTTTTGATCAGATCTACTCACTGTTAAAATAAATGACTCAACTTCGAAGTCACCCTGTATACATTTTTCCAATTGTATTCTAATATGGACTGGTGGTGGCGATGGTGGTGATGGTGGGGATGTTGGTGATGGTGGGGGAATATTATAATCGATTTTTTGAATCAATCCATCCAAATTTGGTCATTCCAAGCCATTTGATGTATACCTTATTTCCCTTTCTTTTTAAAACTTTCTCAACCAAATATACGTCTGGGTTTTTCGCTTTTTGTAATTATTCCGTATAGAAACAACCCATAATTGGATTGTCATCCAAATCATGCAATAAATATGTAACTGGTTATTTGTACTTTTGCAATTTTAAATAGCTCAGTTGTCCGGTTAGATGTGTATCCGTTTTCAAATACATGTTTAGATTTACTTATTCTCACGAAATCACCAACTTTAAATTTACGCAGGCGGTAGCTATTTTTATATGATCAAAAGCTGAAATTTTTGTATTCTTTTTAACATCGACTGGCTTCATCCTAATAGTATGATGTTTTTGGTTGTTATAAGCCTGAATGATATCTGATAAAATGTCTATCCATCTATAAGTACCATTTAAGCTGAAATATTTAAATAACTTTTCTTTCAATGTTCTCACTACACGCTCAGCCATAGCAGCTTTGATATGAGTAAATGTACTATAGTGATTTATATTATAAGTTTCCATCAAATGCTTAAAATACACAGTATAGTATTCTTTCCCCTGATCTGTCTGTAAGTTTTTCGGCGGCGGACTTATAGTTTTGAGTATATCAGCAAAAGCTTTGGTAATTTCTTCACCAGATTTTGTTTTCAGCGGTATGCACCATAGAAATTTTGAGTAGCAATTCGTGACTACTACAATAAACTTGAAATTCTTATTATATTCGGCATACTGATCAAGTTGACATAAATCGAATTGATATAAATCATCTAAGCCTAGAACGATGATTCGACGTCTTTTGAAATTTCTTCTTAGCGGTTTGTGTAATTCTTTCACGAGCTGAATTTTTTCTGCACTATGCTTCATGGTTAAAAAGTAACTGTTCATTATATTATTATTACATTACTTTATGCTATTGGAGGAGGAGGAGGAGGAGGAGAATAAGGAGGAGGAGGATTTTCTAAGAAATTGAGAATTCCATCTCCAATTGATTTAAACTTGAGATCAAATCCCCTCCGTACCTTGTTTGCTTCATCACCGATAACGATTTTCATATCTGAGCTGAACTTTTCCATCATTTTATTCAAGTCATTGATATAACGTATACAAGCTGTTTCGGTTTAATGTTGTTGTTCATTTTTTCTACTGCATCAGTAAAAGTTCTTTGGTTCTGACTCAAGATATTTAATTGTGTATCTATAACATCAAGACTTCGGTCTTGTTTATTTAAAATTTTATCGTAACTATTTTGCTTAAGTTCCAGTTCAGTAATAGTACTTTTTAAAATATCAATTTGATCTTTTAGCGCTTTTGATACCTCAATGGTATTTTGGTTATCAATTTTACGTCTTCTGTTCTCTTCGATAAGCGCATTATCTACATAACGCTTACAAGATCTAATTTCTCCATCTACATATTTGTTCACTTCGATAAGCGCATTATCTACATAACGCTTACAAGATCTAATTTCACCATCTACATATTGTTTATTTACTATATATCTTTCCCATTTATTGGCGCTATAGAACTACAAAGTTTGAAATTTTCAAAGCTGACTTCTCCTTCTGCAT